AAGTGATCGAGTACCTCTCACAGGCTCATCATCAACATTCTGATCAACATCAGTCTCAATTTTTGGAAGAGATTGAATTAAACTTGGATTTTAAGACTCTAAAAGATCCTGCTTATCCCAATTCCAGCTTGCTGCTTCATCAAAGGCCAAATTTTTGCTAATAACAACTCTACCAGAATTAGGCAAGTATGTTTTGTAAGCCTTAGATTTAGAACTATAACCAATAAAAATAGCTTTTTGAGCCCTGTGCTGCAACTTATCCCTCATAGCTTCTGGTATATGAATATAACAAATGCAACCAAAGACTCATAAATGCTCTATTGAAGGTCTTTGATCAAAGCAGACTTCATATGGTGATTTGCCACCTAGTGCCTAAGTAGGAATTCTATTCTGCAAATATATTGCAGTGTTGCAAGCTTCTGCCCAGAACTTGGTGGGCAGATTGTTCTCGAACAACAATGTTCTAGCCATATCAAGAATAGTCCTATTCTTTCTTTCACTAACACCATTTTGTTGAGGGGAATAAGGTGCAGAGAATTGATGACAAATGCCTACTGCTGCAAGAAAACCAAAATATTCTTTGGAGACATATTTTCCTCCATTGTCAGTCCTTAGAATTTTAATTCTGAAGCCAGTATCAACTTCCCCCATGACTTTAAATCTTTAAAACAACTCAAATACTTCAAATTTAGCTTTCATGAAGTATATCCAGCACCATTGAGTTCTGTCATCAATAAAAAGTAAGTAATATCTGCTAGCATTCAGTGATTCTATTTTCATTGGACCTGCTACAAACTTAAGTAAGTTTCTTAAAGAACCAGAAGCACTGCCCTGCCCAAGTCCCTTGAAGTTGAAATGTCCAAGTCTCTTGTGCCACAAATTTGTTAGATTTGAATTTGAATTTCTAGCTTGCAGACATAGTTGATCAACAGTTATAGTGAAACACCTTTTATGCATAAGTACAGTCATCAAATAAGAACCAGAGGCATCAAATATAACTCAGGAACTATCTTTGAACAGCAAAGTATAGTTATTTTCAACTAACTGTCCAACACTTAATAAATTAAAAGTAAGTGTAGGAACTAATAATACTTCAGAGATGTACCTGGGACCAGTGGACGTATGAACTTGAACAGTTCCTTTCCCAATAGCAGGTAGATAGATTCCATTTCCTATTT